GTCTACACTGGACGCGACAAAGCGACCGTTGCCAATCATTTGAACCTTGTGTCAGTCAGTACGTCCTATTTGTCGTGCCGTGCCGCATCCAGTGTAGACAGACAGCATCACTGATTATAATGGGTTCATAGTATTTTGTCGCGTTGCGCCGCGCCGCTCGCGTCCGGTGTAGACACAGTGAGAGCCACACAGATGCACGTGAACACTAATTTCTGTTCACTTCTGCGTCTATTTGTGCCTGTGCTTATGGCTTAGGTGAAGGGAAACAATTGAGAAAGAAAATGGATGTGTAACAGTATATTGTTTTACAGCAGTTTAATGTTCCTGAGGCTTTCTGTGTTATGAATGTTAATCAAACAACAAAACACAAAGAAAAATCACTTTTGCAGCTTTAACACAGATTTATTAGATTTAATTTATACACTGAAAACTATGCAATGTTATTTTACATTTGTGACCCTGGACCACAAAACCAGTCTTAAGTATAAATTTATACATCCTCTGAAAGCTGAATAAATAAGCTTTCCATTGATGTGTGGTTTGTTAGGATGGGACAATATTTGGCCGAGATACAACTATTTGAAAATCTGGAATTTCATTTGTATCTTTGTTCTATTATATTTATCTATGTAATGTGTTTATTTCCTATGCTGATTTATTTTACTCGCCTACAAAATCACCCCAATCGTAGATTTTTTTCCACCAAATAAACTATTATAAGTCATGTGGTGATTTTTTTCATATCGCAATATATATCGCAGAAAAATAAAATATCGCACTGTGAGTTTTTTTCCAATATCGTGCAGCCCTTTTCTATACAATGAAGTATGACAACAAATTCACGCTTCAATAAGATATTAAAGCCAAGCACAAATTAAGTATTTAGCAGATAAACGCTTAACTTAACATATACGATAATTTTCACCATATGATAGTAAAAATTTTACAGATTACTCACCGAACTCTCCGCCATCTCGTCGTCAATAACCTTCACTTCCGGTTCTATGGAACTGCTGGTGCAACTGCAGGTCTTGCGCGCCCATTTTGTCTTCACTTTCATGATCAACCCAGTGAAGGAAAATACCTTATAGTAACTCGTGACGTTGAACGTCCAGAATAACTACTATTGGCTGGAATTTCAGAGCCTATTTACTGTGCAGACAAACATTTCGCCAGTTCACATAATTTACACCAACCGAAGAGTCAGGTAGACTTCTCTATAGTTTTTAATCTGAAAGGATTGTTTCTCGGGCAATAGCAAGAATGCGCCCCGTGCTGTTTTTTCTCCTTGGAGCTCATCTTGCTTATGCTGGTGAGTAGATGATTTTAATATGACAATACTAGACTAGTAGCTATATTTGTTGTATAATTGCTTTATAAGAGTTATTCTGTTGAACTGAAACAGACCTATATGAACATTTAAGTCAAAGTTTCGTGTTACTAACACTTTTTCGGAAACGTGTATTGACGTATTTTGTATACTTTAACATGTTTTAATATCCTGAAAATTCATGTTTGTCTACGACTTTATATTATAATAACATTATCCTTTATCCAAAATCGACTCAACAACAACAACAATAATAATAATATCCTAACAATAAACTATTTTAAATAATAGTAATTATACCTAGAAAAAATATTGTATAATATTGCAGTGTATAATAAAAAAAGAATGCATAAATATCCTATAGGCCTAGCTATTGTAGCTAGCAAACATATTTGTTGGTTTGAGTTTAAAAATTTAAAACGTATTTTAGAGCATACTAGATTTCTGTATCAGATCAGTTTCATTTCTAACCTGAGAAACGCTTTTCTACCCAGAGACCGATGACGAGCTACTTGCTAAACCCACTACACACTATGGTCTACTGTTAATGAGCCACTGATTGTCTTACCATGTATTGGGGAAAAGTCCCATAACAGAAGAATAAAAATCTAAATGAAACGAAATCTTGCGTTTTTCGTAAGACCCAAAGAACAGTTGGAGAAACAAGTTTGGCTTAGGGTTAGGGAATTTTGACTGCAGTTTTGGCCACTAGATGGCAATACAATGTCACTAAAAAAACAACCCTAGGACACCTAGACATACCGATCAGTCCCACTGAAATCCATGATCCTGTGTCTGTGAGAGAGAGTGTTTATCGGTTCTAAACAAGATGGACAGCAGGATGAGCAACCTTTTTTTAGATTAATTTCTCCCACTTGTCTTCAGCTTTATCTTTCACACTAATCTGGTCTCCTGAAATGCCAGACACTACTGATACATTCCTGTTAAAATGAGATGAATCAAATACAAAACATTATTGTAGCATTTTTACTTTCTTCATTCCATTGTTGGGAAGATTTCAAATAATATATTCAATAATAGGTTTGTTCTTCTTACATTTGTCTTTGCCTGAAGTGAGATATTGAAATCACATACCTACACTAGGTTTTGAACAGGAAGATTTTTTATGTTTTTTAAAGAATTCTCTTCTGCTCACCAAGCCTGCATTTATTTGATCCAAAATACAGCAAAATCAGTAATGTTGTGAAATATTTTTATTATTTAAAATAACTGCTTTCTATTTTAATATAATTTAAAATGTAATTTATTTCTGTGATCAAAAGCTGAATTTTCAGCATCATTACTCCAGTCATTACTCATCAGTTTTGATCAATTTAAAGCACCCTTGCTAAATAAAAGTATTACTTTCTGTAATTTCTTTAAAAAATAAAAAATAATACTGACTCCAAGCTTTTGAATGGTATAGTGTATAATGTTACAAAAGCTTTTTATTTCAGATAAATGCTGATCTTTCTATTCATCAAAGAATACTGAAAAAAAAATGTACTCAACTGTTTTAAATATTGATGATAATAATAATAATAATAAATGTTTCTTAAGCAGCAAATCAGCATTTTAGAAAGATATCTGAAGGATCATGTGACACTGAAGACTGAAGTAATGATGCTGAAAATTCAGCTTTGCATCACAGGAATAAATTACATTTTAAAATATATTCAGATAGAACGAAGTTATTTTAAATAGTAATAATATTTCACAATATTACTGCTTTTGCTGTATTTTTGATCAAATAAATGCAGGCTTGGTGAGCAGAAGAGAATTCTTTAAAAAAACATTAAAAATCTTACTGTTCATAAACTTTTGACTGGTAGTGTATATCCACTGTTTACTGTGTCTAGATATAAGTATTTTTATCTATCTTCTTGTGTCATATATCAAAAGTAACTGGAATCAAAATTACTTCTGTGTTTTAGCACACTTGGCCAATAAGGCTGTTTCTGAGTAAATGTTGTTCTAATTAAAAATACAGCAAATCTTGCTATATTGTTAGTAGTGACAAGTCTCAAATGTAAATTTAGGCCATTTAGGAAGATCTGGATTATGAACAAATTATTAACAGCTAAAAATATTGTCCCTTTGTATATCAGAGTGTCATTTTTCAGTTAGGTAATTGTTTATTTATAATTATTTTAATGTAGCCTAATTGTGAATTTCAGTGTTGATGTAACTCTTAAAGTGTGAATTTTGAACAGGCTTTACGTGGAGATGATGACTAAACTTCTCTCTGTTTCTATCTCTGTCCACAGGAACACACTCTCTGAGATACTTCTACACTGGTGTGTCTGGAGACATTGACTTCCCAGAGTTCACTTCAGTTGGTCTGGTAGATGATGAGCAGTTTACGTACTTTGACAGCAACATAATGAAAACTGTGCCAAAGACAGAGTGGATCAGACAGAATGAGGGAGCAGATTACTGGGACAGAGAGACTCAGATTGGTATTGACAACCATCAGAGCTTCAAAGTCCACATCCAGACCCTGAAGGGACGCTTCAACCAGTCAGCAGGTAAGTTAGTAACAAACCCACCTACACACACAGACAAAGCCATTACTTTTACTTGCCAGTGAAATATCTCTTCCCACAGTGGCATAAACCTCTGGAGGGACAGGAGTGAGGGGTGGAGGGGGGTGTTGTCCTAGTTGTATGTGACTATTTTGCATGCTAATGAATTAGTGTTAGGAGTACGGCTACCATTTACAGTATCTTTTATTTTTATTTTATTTTTCGGTATTAAAGATGTGTTTGTTAATTAAACACTAATATCCACTAAAGATAGAAATGTTTACTTTTGTCTTTTTTATTGTATTGTAAGGTAGTGATATTTGACCTGGGCAGAGGATTTCCGTTTACCAGCATTCACAGCATGAAACTGGAGGGGAAGAATTAATTTAGATAATTTAAATGTGTGTGTAGACAAACAGCTGCCTGATCCATCAGATAACTGAGAAGAATGAGATTAGATACTAAAGCCATTTACATCCTTAAAGGGGTCATATGATGCGATTTAATTTTTTCCTTTCTCTTTGGAGTGTTACAAGCTCTTGGTGCATAAAGAAGATCTGTAAAGTTGCAAAGACTAAAGTCTCAAATCCAAAGAGATATTCTTTATAAAAGTTAAGAGTCAACCACACCTACCTAAAACGCCTCGTTCTAACACGCCCCCACATACCTACGTCACGATCTGGGAAGATTTGCCCCCACATACCTACGTCACGATGTGGGAAGATTTGCATAACGCCGCCCAAATGTTCACGCAAAGAAAGATGGCGTAGCTTTTATTCTCGCTGTAGTGTTGCTGCCGCCATGCCGTGAAGACGCTGTGTGTTTCGTTATGAAAGCGAA